TCAGCGACGGTAAAGGTGTCAAACAATTGGACACTAAAAGTTGATGGTCACAAACTTAAACTTCACTGGAAAGCATCTGCCAAGGGAACATCTGCACTGGAGGGACAAAGGTCATTCAGCCCAACAGTAATTGAGAAATGAGATAGAATAAATATATGAAAATCATATATTGAACTGCGGTATTTGATACGTATGATGCACGATCCTCGCAGTAGATAGCGCTATTTAAGCAATAGCAAAATTCAGACCTGAAAAAAATCAGGCCTGTACGGGACTCGAACCACTGACCTCTGCGATACTAGTGCAGCGCTCTAACCAATTGAGCTAACAAGCCAACTGAGAGCAGGCCGTTAAGTTGATTCGTAATGAACCCGTGAAAGTGATAAATGAGATAGAATAAATATATGAAAATCATATATTTTGAACTGCGGTATTTGATACGTATGATGCACGATCCTCGCAGTAGATAGCGCTATTTAAGCAATAGCAAAATTCAGACCTGAAAAAAATCAGGCCTGTACGGGACTCGAACCACTGACCTCTGCGATACTAGTGCAGCGCTCTAACCAATATATGATTTTCATATATTTATTCTATCTCATATCCAAATTACTTCAAGCAGACAAGTGATAAGAATATAGAAAAATATCAATTAGGGGATTATTAGTTGATCCAATACCAAATTCTCCAAACTAATTCACTTACCTCTCCTCTGAAAAATTGTATGGCAGACAGTTTGGAGAATTCCTGGATGATATTATTGAGATCTTTGGAATGAAAGGGTGAAAAGGCTCTGGCACTGATCTTTTTGACAATTTTTTTTGTCTGTGATTGCATCTTTGTTTTGTCCTGTGGGAGATACTTCACTCTAACTGGGAGAGGTGTATCTCTACCAGGCATGCACCTCAGGCATCTTATGTTTCCTTTACTAAGCAAAGTCCATAATTCAGGGTCTGCAACAAGCATAATAGATTCATTATAGTGAATTGAAGTCACTGACAACAACAACTATTCACTCGGCTCTGATGATGACTTCCATGCAGGTTGTCGAAAGGTCAGTCACCACCACCGTCAACTGTACAGGTCCTTCTCAGGACTACACTCACCCGGACGATCACACTACACTTCCACATAGTATAAATTTTTGTCATTCACTTTTATTTTGATTTGTCTTTCTCCAATTTAAGACTCAAGAGCACTTCCAGCCAAGAGTTCATGGGTTTGAAATAAGCATGAAATTAGAAGCTGTTCACCCAATGAAGCCATCAATCATCTGCCCTGCGACAGTCACCAAGAGCTTGGGTCCTTACTACTTTGCTGTTACTACTGACTATCAAGAAGATGTGCCTGCAGTCACATTTTGTTGCCATAGTGACTCTCCAGGGATTTTTCCTGCAGGCTGGTGTTCCAGACACCAAGTGGATTTGTCTGTTCCTGGAAGTAAGTGTTGAGTGTTGTAAGTTAGACAGTGCTATTTAAGCGGGCAAGCTAGTAAAGCTATTGAGCTAACCTCCCGGTTAGCTCAATTGGTTAGAGCGCTGGACTGTTGTGCGGGAGGTCGAGGTCGATGGTTCGAGCCCCGGCCAGACCAACACTCAAGGTCTTAAATTAACCGAGGAGAATGTGCTACCTTTCTTTAATAAGAAATGGATAGACATTCTAGTCTTCTCGGATAAGGACAAATAAACTGTAGGTCCTGTCTCCTGCATCTATTAATTAGTTAATTTGGTTAGGCAGGGGACGTTAAAGAACCCACTCACAAGATTACTGTGATGTGGTCTAGCCTGTTTACTGGGAATGGGGGGAGGGGGCATCTTCAAATAAGTTTCCTTTGATTGTTTGTAAATTGCTGATGCAGTCTGGCCAAAGTCCCCCAAAAAGTGTTGTAGTGGGCATTTGATCATATCCACATGTTAATTTGCGCAATATAAATATTAAATTATTATTATTTTTTTTATTATTAAAGTGGGAGGAGACGGGGCAGGAGGGGTACAGGAGCTAAGAGAGGAAGAGCAAGAGGTGGGAAGGAGTAACATTATACGGATGGAAAGCAGGAAGGAGATGTACAAATGGAGATAGGGGCTGATAGTTTCGAAAGAAACTGTTTGGGGCTGGGTCAGTGGGAATAACAAAATAATTTGGATATATCAACAAAGTTGAAGTGATAAATTGGCCACCGTAACGATTCCAAAAAGCTGACGTTTCGAGTGTTAGCCCTTCGTCGGAGCGAATGACAAAGGGCTAACGCTCGAAACGTCAGCTTTTGGAATGGTTACGGTGGCCAATTTACCACTTCAACTTTGTTGATATGTCCAAATTACAAATGGAGATGCTTGTCAATTGGTAGTGTGAGATGGAAGTCAATTTTGTGGTGTGTGTTTATCAAGGGGGTATTGAAGCAGGGTATGGGAAAAGGGTTTCACGATATTTAAACACAACTGGGCATCTCCAGTGTAGATATTTTACCTTACTGACATGTTATGTATCCCATTAAGGGGCCGGCCTGGGCGGCCATTATATTTACTCTTACATAGTCAAGGTTCTTGTGTGATTGTTTCATGTTTCAGGCTACACCAAAAAAACTTTTGCATGGGACAAATATTTAGCTGTATGCCGGTCAACCTTCGCCCCTCCTCATCTGTTTCGGGTATGTTTAGTAGATGTACAACTTTCTCATTACTTTGTGTATAAATTATTCAAGGAAAGGTATCAGGGACAGGCTGGGAGATTTTTTTTTATTTTTGATAAAAAATTTTTAGGCAGTTTTTTTTAATGAAAGCTGGGTATAGTTATTTTCTTAAATCAGATTCTTTACAATCAGACAAAGTCTTTACAACCAATTATTGCATCTCATTTAGAAACTGTGTTGTCTCTTACCAATTTTGCGCTGAAGGAAAACAAAGTTAAACTTATGCTGTGAAAGATCACCACATCGAACTGTGTAAACTGTAATTTTGAAACAACTCTTTTAACATTATTTGTAAACTTGTATTTCATAGCTGTGAATAAGCAGATAGTTTCTAAGCTAATGCCTTTAAGATTTAAGATTAGATATGGAATGATTCTTGTGCTAAATTAATCTGATTATGGTTGATTGTGTTTTCCTTATTATGCACAAGACTTCTTTTTCTCTTTGCCAAGATCATTATTTTCATTTTAATTTCACGGAACTTTGACATCTTTTCATCCAGAAAATGAAAGCCCATAAATTCAAACCTGGGATGAAACTAGAAGTGGTAGACCTAGAGAAGCCACACATCATTCGAGTGGCCACCATAACAAACATCATGGGACGCATGTTGCAGCTTTTCTTTGATGGACAGTCCAAGTTCCAGTTTGTGGATTTTGAATCCCCAGATATATATCCCATTGGCTGGTGTAAAAGGACTGCACACATCCTTCACACTCCATTTGGTACAAGTAAGTATGTTGTTTACTTTTCTAGTCATTGACCTTGAGGAGAAGGGGTTGTAAGCTTTTTAGAACAGGCTCCTTAGGGTAATGGAGTCACTTTGTCCTTAGCTGCAATAGCTGAGTAATTTGTGTGCACTATGAAGGCTAGCATTAAGAGGCAGAGCTATGAATACATGCCTCAAAACTTTAAGAGGTTTGGGAGACTAAACCGCATGCTGTGTTGGCTGCAGAAGCCTTTGAAATTTCTTTGCTCTTCTGTAGAAGGCATGACATGATGTTTTAGGGAACTTTTCTTTCTCAAGATTTTCACATTTAAGTGATGGACTACACAGTGTTACTCTGTCCTTATGTAGCTGGTAAAATAAGCAACAGAAAATGGTGCCACATGAAGAGTGGAGGGTATGAGGCATCCAGAAGAGAGAATTCAGCGAATGACGTATTTGCAACACTGTACTTATATTCTTTTTGCTTCAAACTTAAAATTTTTCTCTGTAACTGTTTTCTCACATGCTTTTTTTTTGTTTCCTCTTTTTTAGTTCCTTCTGATGCATCCAGGTTAGTTCTTAGGCTTTTGTTTTGTAGTTGCAGTGTACTTGCATTCTAGAGCGTCCTGAACATCTTACAACTGCATGGATGCATTATTGATCGTTACCTTATTCTTTGAAATCTTTTCATTGATGATGTTTGGTATCTAAACAAGAGTTCCTTTATCTTTCACATGCTAATCCAGAAGTTGCACAAAATAACCATATTTTTCTAGTTATCAGTTACTTTTTTTTTCAGAAATTCCAGATTTTAGGGCATAGTCATCCTTTTTTGGGATTTTTTTTTTAAATTTACATCAAATTAACATCCTTTGTTGTCCTGTGGCATGCAGCTCAGACGAGGAAGACACTCTTGTTCTACCTTCATTTCTGGAGGTCATGGGAAGGCAGAATCAAACCCAGTCAGGACAACAAGCTGTGGGTAAGTCAAACTTTTCATCAATTTTAACGCCTCTGAACTGTTTTTTTTTTTTTTTTTTTTTTTCCTTGTGACATGTGCTAAACAAAATAATGAATGCCTTGGCACCATTACACATTCACACTTTTTACTGTTCCACTGTTTTCTACCTGCCACTTATGGCCAACTTCATTAGCTGTTAGATTCGTTACTATGTCTTTGGACAGCATTTAAGAGACATTTAAACTCCACACGTCCCCCACACCCCTCCCCCCCCGTCCCTCATAAAGTTTTGAGGAGGGCATGCAAAGAGCAAAACAAATATTTTGGCATCATTGAAATGAAGGGGAGGTTGTTGAGGCCAGAAGTGTAAAGGAGTGGTCCAAATGTTACGATTATTAGGATTGTAGGTACTGAGGTTTTTTTAACTGCCTTGGGTGTAACCGCTGCACAAGGGACTCTTCCCCTCAAAATGAGTAAAAAAAAGGGGGAAATCAACTTGGGTGTGTGCTTAGTGTGAGGGCTGTTGTCTGTCTCCTTGAGAAATGGATTGGGAGACAATCCAATGAATGGATGTGTAGATTAGTTGTTGTGAATATGTTTTTTGTTAATACTGGTTTCCTTTTTCTCACTTGTAGGAATTTTACCCAGAAAGATCCCGGCAGTGAGGTTGGGAAATTTCCTAATTATTTAATTGATTTAACTCCAGTCTAAAAAAAAAAAAATTCCCTTTTGACTTACTATGAAATGTTGGTGCAAAATGCAAGCGAAGCAAGTCTTGGGCTAAAACTTTAGTATATGTTCGTCTTGTGAAAGAAAAATGGGAGAAGCTAGATGCAGCAGTGACTGAAAGTAGTGACCGGAAACGGGAAGGGGAAGCGGGGGAGTGGGTTGGCACAACCCGATAGAGATAAATTGCAGCATATTTCTTGAGCCCATCAAGGCAATGGGGTTGTGTTTTAGGCTTAAAGACGTATTTGTGTTGTGAATAAACAAATATTGAATTTGTTACCTACACTGATGTACTCGCGGTTACAGCAAAATTGAAAAAGACGACAAGTCTCCGGGCGAAGAAAGCGATATTAGTGACGATGACACAGGTAAGAAATAATTGAAGATCTGGGTTGCTAATACTGGTTGGATATTTCTGGACTTGGGTTTCTGATGCTGGTACGATGTTCCTGGACTTGGGTCGCTAATACTGGCACAAATTTTCTTGGGTGTCACAGTGTTGTCGAGGTTTTCGAATTATTAAAAAGTATGGAAATGTGGCAATGTATTTTCAAGAAAGAAATAAAGTAAAATAAAGATAAAACTTGATGGATTTCCTTGATCCGAGTAGCAATAAGTTTCGGGTGAGATTTTTTGTGACTAAGCTGAATTTCGGAAAATTACCACGGCCGGTAGGTTATGTGGACACGATCGGAGATTTTTTCAATTTTTGTGCGAATCCCAACGATATTATGCGTAGGGTTTGTGGTTTGACTTAAAAGCTTTCGTCTGGAAAACGAAAATAATGGTGGGTAGAGTCAAATTTGCCCAGAAAAAAAAGTTTTACAAACCTTTGGGCGGGAAAAAATTTTTTAAAGTGTTAACTAAAGGGAGGAAATTTCTTTGTTGAAGAGGAAAAAAAATGCTTGATCCTTTTTTTTTAAGACTCTTGTTTTTGCTCAGGGTCAGAACGATTTTATCACAACAAGAACCAGATCTTCTTTAACAAGAGCTGTTGCTATGGACCTCTGTTAGACCCGGACAAGGTGTCACAACTGCCCGAGGCTACTCCTCCTGGGAAGGTCAGTAGCGTCATACGCACAGGACTGGAGATGGTAGCCAAGGCAGCATATGATCCAGAAAAAGTCATAGATTTGATGCAGGAGGGATGCGGCGTACGGGTGGTGGTGAAACATAAAGGCAAGATTCTTAAAAAGGTAAGAGGGAATAGGCCTTTTTGACTCGATTTCTTCAGAAGACGCTTTCAACGGTACCTTCCCTAGCAGTGAGTAGGACGCTTTCACATATGAGCTTAGTGTATGGCCAGCTTCTCACGAAATGTTTTGTAGAGAAGATTTCAGCGCAAAATCGAATGCGCTAGAGTTTGATTCGTCAACAAATATATAAGATCTTTCCTAACCCTTTGACCTCTTTCGGTGACTGGCATCTAATTTCTCCTTACAATATCACCATTGAATCAAACTTAAAGGTCAGGAGAATAAAGGAAATGATCACCAACTAAATAACAGTGGGGAGAATACTAAGGTGTAAAGGGTTGGTATTCATGTTCAGTTGCGGATAGGAAAATGTGGCTTGGATGGCCAGCGCGCCCAGATATCAACACTTTGTGTGCTCGCTTGAGTAGGGGAGACAGAATGGGAAAATGTGCGTATTTGATGTGAACCAAAATTATCCACATAGTCTTTACTCTTTGGGTAATCACGGGAAGCTGGTAATAGGTTGCACCCGTTTTCGAAGATTTGGGAAAGATCGGAAATGAATGAATCCTGTGTCGCGAAATTTTCCCAAGAGGATATACCCTGCAGCTTCGTAATCGTTCCCACCAAAACCTCAGAATATGTTTTGTAATGGTAACATTATTTTCTGGAGACCACAGGCCCCGAACTGAACATAACCTCTTGTTTACCATCACGAAATTTGAACCTGGTACTGTACAACTTTACTTCCACGGTGTTCAAAGTTCTTATATGGAAAATGATTAAAAATGCGTGCTTTCATCGGAGGAAGCGAGATCGAATCTGGATCGACAGGATCAGATCAGAAAATCCTGGCCTTTGATTTTTCTTCTAATGCCGAACTCAATCAAACCTAATTCATTTGGATTGAACAACAAACTCGATTTTCGGCAAAAATACTTGATAGTTCATTAAAAAAGTAATGATAATACCTGAGGTCATTAGATGAAAATTTCGACGGCTGAGTCCTTTAATATTCAAATAGCCGCTAATTCTCTCTTAGTTTATTCAGGGCTTTGGGTTCAGCTCACGAGCAAATAGAGGTATTAACTGGTCCTTACATATATTGTTATCAACAGGCGATTTCGCGCGTGGATTCGCGACCGAAGTTGGAGCGCTACCTGAAGAGATTTTGCAGACGTCTTATATGTTGCGAATTCTTTTTGAGTTTAAAGCCGGTGCCAACGCCATGCCCTGATCGCTGCCAAGCTGACGGTGGGAAAGAGTTACTTGTACTTGATGTAGTAAAACAATTCACTAAGGCGGGGGCCGAAGAAACGGAGACTTTTAACGAAGCTTTCGTAATAAGAAATGTTGTGGAACGGGATGAATGAGAAAAGGGTTATATCTGAGCCCCAAAAAAACTAATAGATATATATTTTTTTAATTTCCTCGCCGCAGTGCGTTTATTTTAAGTGTGTGCTAGATTACATATGTTAAGTGTCAACGTTTTAGTTATTTTGCCAACGTTTGGGGGGCCTTCTAAACATAACCTACTGAAAAACGACATTTTATGATTAAAACAAAAAAGAAAAAATAACAGTCAGTTTTTCTGCGCAATCTTTTTTTTTTCTCGAAAACGGTTGGTTTGCGCTCCTCCAAGACAGATGTTGAACGATGAAGTTTTCCTTCCTTTGAATAAATAAACATAAATTTTTCTCACTCAACACTCGCCGACGAATTAATTACACGAAACGTTTTTAAAGTCCATTTAGTTTTGTTTCATGATTGGGTGATGAGGCCTTGAAATGATATTAGATAATGCATTTTTTTCAATTAAAAACGAACATTTTAAACAGAAACGTTGAATAGTCTGCCGCCAGGTACCAGCTGATATCGGAAGAAAGAATTCTCTTTAACTATTCATGAAGCAGTGACGATATCAGTTTTTTTACAACTTTGAATTTAGCTAGATCTCCTCTGTTCTTGTTCCGACGGCGTGTGAAATTATGTTGGATTATGTGACTAAAATTCTGAGGATTCTCGTCTAGCGATTTTGAGCGCGATGATTCAACCGCGATGCTGCCGTGTGCTCTAAGTAAATCTCTTTGTTCAGTGGTGTCTAACGTTGACGACAATGGAAATGCGTGTGTTTCACTGTGTGGGTTTCTAACCACTTTTTGTGTTTCAGATCAAGGAAATCTGCAAGGTCCAAAGGGCTTGAAAGCGAAACGTTCCCGTGAATACTTTGAAGTCAAGCATCTGGGAGTAGAGAATAAGAAGCGGGGCCGGAAGCGGAAGTCGGAATATTTACTTCCAGGGGACCCAAACAACGTTGCCTCCAGGACCCTGGTGGAAAACGGTATATCAATTGCAGGGGCGTCCTTCAATGTGGCACAGGGGCAAAAGATCACTTCCTCGACAACAACAGCAACAACCACCATTTTGCCAGCTCAGAATGTGACCGTTACATCTCAAACTCCTGGAACTCCCGTTGTGATCCCCCAAGGAGTTTCCCCTGGGGTATCTGCCTCAGCAGGTACAGTTGGAAACGTGGGGTTCCAGGTTCCTGGAAATGTGACAGTGCCTCATCTTTCATCAACTACAGCGAAAAGCGTACCATTACTTGCACCCCAGGGGAAAGTTCCTTTGGCTCATTCCCAGCGTGGACCCGTTCCGATAAACGCTTTACCAGGAGGAAAACCTGTTATGAAAGAGGTGAACGTTGAATTTATCCTTCTTACATGTTTGTATTACCCTTAACCACAATGTTATTGTGTCAGCGGTAACATTCTGGTTCTGCGCTGATGAGATTCCTGGCATCTTGTCTTGGTTGTTTTGAGGTAATGTGACACCACCTTTTGCTCTTCCTAAAGGAAACGCTACTGAAGCTTTTTTCTGTGCATAGTGCCAAATGGAAGGGGAGCTAATTTCTTTTCGTCGGAGAATGTTACCCCTTCCCCCTTTCAGGATTTTTGAATATTTCAGAAAATTCCACGGGCAAATAGTTGGATACTACCGTATCGACGGCTAAGCACACAACGACAACAACACTGGCCAAAACTCAGTCTCACAAGAACCTTCCAAGGTCGAATCCAGTTAACGATGAAATCATTTTGTAGCTATGCTTCTCACGATACGCAGGATACAGCATATTTGACTTACCGTATTAAAATCTTCGTTTCTCTTTTAAGGGAGGTCAGACACACAATCCTTCCGGTGCAAGCAACACTATATCGTTACCGGATGGCACAAGTCGTATCGTCACCAACGTGTCAAGCCAACGATTTGCCACAAGTGCCACGAGTTCTGGAACGACCATCACATTTGGCCGCGCCCCACCTAATGTTACCATATCTAACTGTACACCTCCACCGCTGACCAAGATTGCTACCGAGGCCAGTAGCAGTCACGTGGCCACATCTACAAACATGGCGGTCGAACCAGCGAATCAACTTGCGATTCATGCAGTTTCCGCAATTCAAACCGCCAGCAGCGTGTCCGTTCCGCCACCATACTCTACCAGCAGTGTGCATGGTCCACCCATATCCAGAGCCTCGTATGGCACGGCTACCACAGGACAACTGTCCGTAAACACCGGGTACAGACCTGCTGCTGGTCCACCAGTTTATCCTCGACAAGTATTAAGTCCAAATCCCGGGGGAGTGATCCGCCATCCCGGAGTTCACGCGACCCCTCCGGGGACATCATCTGCGGTTCCAATCAAACCAGGGGGTGGAACACCTCCACCTCCCCCACTTGTTCCCAACGCAAGGATTGGCCAAGGAGGACGCCCTCAAGGAATGTACGTCCAAGCACAGCCGAACAGCAGCAGTATGCCTCCGCCTCGCCCTGGAATGCATACACACCCTCCATCGTACAATCCCATTGCAGTTAGGACTGGGGTAGTAAACCACCACCCTCAAGGAAATGCTCCGCCGCCTTCCCTCAGTAGCTCCTCGGGCGTTTCAAGCGGCCCGCATCACCCAGGTTCGGGAGAGAGGGTGGTTTCCCAAGCGGGCGTTGCAACTATGTCCCAAAGGCCCATTATGCCGAACTATCCCGGAATCCCCCGATCAATAAATCCTGGTATGTCTCCTCGGAATACCCCACTGAGGTTTTCCAGCGTCAGAGCATCCCTAGGAGGTGGGTATCCCCGGCATCCTCCTCACATACGTCCCCAGGGAGGAGCTCCGTTGAAGTTGTCCCCTCATCAACAGGTAAGATTACATTACAAGTATTTTCGTTGCTTTTCCTTTCTTAGTGTTACTTTAGTAGTGTTGTGGCTCCATTTGAACACAGTTTGAATGAATCGTGTTTTTGCCGCTCTTCTCGACGATCCACAAGCCATAGATAAAGACACTGTTTGTTCAAAGTTCCCCTGAAAACGAACAACTTGTGCAAAAAAGAATTGAATTAGACGTGCGAATCGAGTCTTTCGAACAATTAACTGACAAGTGATCGTCGGTAAATGGATAGTACTGAAAATCATACGGTTCACGTGATGATCACACGAAGCAATTAATTTCTTTTTTCGTGGGTTTGTTTAACATTTATCGATGATTAAATTTTCCATCAGAGCTTCAAATTGCCGTTCCCGGTGCCTACTGTTTCTGGCAATGTACAGCGAAGTGTTGGATCCAGTTTGCCCGGCGTTACGTTGGTGGATTCGGTATCAATGTCAAAATCTCACCTCGTGCCAACCCCGATACAACCGAAAAGTTCCATCGAGCATTTACAGGCCCTCACGAACTCGACCGACAAAGACGCGAAGCTAACCGAAGAGATAACCATAAAAGAAGAGCAAGAAGAAGAAGAAGAAAGAAAAATGGCCGACGAGGGAGGAGGAGGAGGAGGAAAAGGAGAGGAAGGAATCGAAAACAAATCACAATCGCCTCCGAAGAGAAACCTGTGGTGGCTGAAAAAGAAGCGTCGAAAACGCACACGATTGACTTATATTAAATCGAAATGCCGTCGGAAAGATGAAGAAGGTGCGCCGAGTACTTCCGAAGTGGCCGCTATGGAAGAAGAAGTTGAACTCGACGATCTTCCGAAATCGCCTTCGGGAGAGAGACCTAAGCGAGGCCGACCACCTAAGGGCATAGGGTTTCGATTCAAGACAGAGAGCTTCTCAAACAGTGATCCAGATTGGGACGAGACAGAAGAGAGAAGGAGAGTAAAACCCATAATCAAGAAGAGAAAAGGACGAATGAAGAAAGGTACTCTTTTTCTTGTTGAGGGTTCATTGTTTACGATAAAACGCGGTTATTTTGCCTATTAACTTTTCCAAGGTTATTTAAATAGTCCTTCTTGAATGATGACGGAAAATATTTCTTCACTTTTTGTTTTGGTTTTCAGATTCTAACGAAGTAACATCGCCTAAACTGAAATCCCCAGGCATGGGCGGGCCATTGCAAATTCCAATGATCCCTGGTGTGCCAGTAGTTCGGGACTTGGGTACCGCAGTACCCTCTGGTTCCACCGCGCCCATAGTTCGCTCGCCGCCAGTTTCTCGTGCACATTCCCACCATGGAACAGGGACGCCTGGCGGTAAGCGCATCACTTCTCCAAAGGGTGCTAAGCTGATGCGCATGAGCTCTGCAACGGATCCTACAGGTACGGGAAAGCATTATTTGAATCAGAAAAATATCAGTACTCGCGTTAAATATAGATAAAGTGATTTCCTATTGATGGTCATAACAGCCAATCAAAACAAATGGAAATATCACAAGAAGCCAATCGGAGTTAACAAATGGTAAACACCACAGCGTACACTATTGAGTTATGGATACACGCAGGAGGTTGTTAAGCATGAAGGAAGCGCGAGAGTCTAGCTTCTTGAGTGCTCAGCAAACCTCCCAAGTGCATCCATAACTCAATATTGTACGCAGTGGTGTTTACCATTTGCGTTATAACGTAAAAACAATTTCTTGCGAAACATTTGCTTACTTGAAAACATTTGCTCACCGCAGCGTACACCCATGGGCAAATAGTAAACACTGAATTGACGCACTTTACGTGATATATGTTATAACTCAATTAAGGTGCGGGAAACTGCGAATAACCTAGTCGCAATTGGTCACCGGTTAAGTTTGGTATCTGGTCGAATTAGAGGGCAGTACGAATTTTCCAAAGCGAAGTATATCCAAACTCGTGAAATTTTGTATGAGGACACAATTGTCCACGCTATTGCCCAGTGTTGACTCTTCGACTCCTTTTTTTTTTTTCGCAGTGGTATGGTATTCGACTCCTTTTTTTTCTCAGTGGTATGGTATTAGACTCCTTTTTTTTTTTCTCAGTGGTATGGTATTCGACTCCTTTTTTTTCTCAGTGGTATGGTATTAGACTCCTTTTTTTTCTCAGTGGTATGGTATTAGACTCCTTTTTTTTT